TGCTGTTTTAAGCCACTAAATTTATGGCAAAGCAGCAATAGGAAACTATGCATACTGGTTATCAGTAAAAAAGACAAGTAACATAATTTTAAGATGGTTAACTCACAAAATTAAACCTGGATGTCCAATAAATAGTTAAAAACACTGAACATGGGCATTCCCGATGGCCCAGCGGTTTGGCGCCACCTTCAGCCCAGGTTGTGATCCTGGAGACCTGGGATCGAGTCCCACATCGGGTTCTCTGTATGGAGCCTGCTTCTCCCACTGCCTGTGTGTCTGCCCCCTCTCTCTCTCTCTCTCTCTCTCTCTCTGTGTGTGTGTGTGTGTGTCTCATGAATAAATAAAATCTTTAAAAAAAAGAAAACACCACTAGGAATCCGAGAAATCAAATTTAAATGAGCTCTATTTGCCTATTAGGTTAGCAAAAATTTTCATAGACATTATCCATCCAGTGTTCTCAAGGATCCAAGAGTCTCTTATACGTGGTTGGTGAGGGTCTAAATAGGACAGATGTTTTAGAGGGAAAATCCATCAAATTTTAAAGATTATTTCTTAAAGAAAAAATTTGTGTATACCTATACCCAACTTAAATCTTTCACAGTATCTTTCCATATCATTTGTGAAACTTTTTCTCAATGCATAAAGAAACAGTCCAAGGGCAGTACGAGAAAACCAGCAAATGCAAATCAAAAGATAACTGCATGTGTGTGGTGGGGGGTGGATGGGGAGGAGGGAGGGGGAGACAGACAGGCAGCCGGATTTTAGGATGGAGTGACAGAAACATTAGTGAGAGTTAATCATTTTCCCTCCTCGCCACACAGCTGCTCTGTCTACATCTTCTCTCACATCTACTGCCAACATTCTGTTTATTGCATCTGTCTGTGAAAGTATCCAGAGCCCCCGCCCCCGGTCCTCTAAGAGATGTGGCTAAAAGCTCAATCTGTTGGCCATGTCTGCACTTTGTGTCGCTGCTGCTTAGATTAAGTACTCATTATGGAAGAAATGTTTTCAGTGGACACATGTTCCCATAACAGTCATCCTGTGGTTTTTGTATACCTTCTAACAAAGTCTCAAAGCTCACACTGTGGTGCATTTTGTAATGTATTTAATTGTCAAGTCACTGTTGTAGTCAAAATACATGTCAATTATACTTCAAGTAAAAATGTACATAAATAAAAAATTTTTAAGTCTTGAAAATAAACTGAATGAGCAGCTCAAACAGGTGCTCAGCCCAGGGTTGGAGGTGGCAGATGATGTTATTACCAGACTTCAAACTTTTAAAGATGCATGAAGCCAGATTGGCCCAGTGGTCCTCTTCGTTGCCCCCTTCTCCTTTCTTGCATGGCTGATTCCCCAGCATGTTACCATGAATGTTGAGATAAACACTCCTCAGCAGTGAGCTCCCAGTGAAAATAATGGATTTAATCTTTCTGGTTGGAAAATGTAGGTGGAGGGCAGCTCTCTAGTTAGGATGTTGGATGTAGATGTCTCTAGTCACTGTAGACTGTTGTCCAGAAAGGGATTATGGCCTCATTAGCCAAAGCTCCCTCATTTTAGGGACAAGAAACTAATGCCTAGGAAGAAGAGTGCCTTAGCATCTTGTTAGTGGGGAAGACAGAACAGAAATCCTCTCACCCAATTGGGGGTCCAGAGATCTTTTCTCAACATCTGCCTTCTCTGGGTACCTTACTTAGATGGCATCCTTATGCTTTCCATGAGGAACTTTGTTACATGTCATCAGTTTAAATTTACTCTTAACAGTTTCAGCTCTACAAATTGCCTAGCTCAGTAACTGACCATTAGTCTGCTTTGTGATGTGTCAGTATGCATGGGCTGAACTGTTTTCCAAAATTCCCTTTCTTACATGTTTCTGGTAGGAGTGGGCCCCAGAGGAGTTTCTTGTTAGAGATTTGGAAGGCACATGTAAAGTATAAGTCCTTTTTATTTATTTTTTAAGATTTTTAATTTATTGGGGGTGGGGGCGGCAGAGACACAGGCAGAGTGAGAAGCAGGCTCCATGGAGGGAGCCCGACATGGGACTCGATCCCGGGTCCCCAGGATCACACCCCGGGCTGCAGGCAGCGCTAAACTGGGGCTGCCCAGCAGTTCTTTTTATAATCTACACATTGTCATATTGAGCCAGCTCAAGTCGTTGGCAAGAGGCAGCAGTGGGTATACAGAAGTGCAATGTCTGTACCCGTTCCAGGCTTCTGCTTCAGCTCCTCTAATCCCTGGAACTCACCTGGTGTGTGTGTCTACCCCCCAATGTAAACAGACATGGTTTTAGTCTCTATTTACGGTTTTTGTTTGTTGCCCATGGTTCTAGCTTGTGACTCTAGACTGTAGATCCATCTTTCCTGGCTTCTGCTGTCCCTGTAGACTTCAAACTCCAGCTTCAGGGCACAGATGGCCCTTAAAGACTGCTTTATAAGCTCCTTCAATTACATAAGTTAAATTCCTCTGAGTACATACTCTATATGATACACATCCTCTCATCCTTCTACTTCTTTGAACTATGGCTGCCCCACACCTGTTTCTGAGAAGCCTCTGCTTTATTCACTTACTTAGCAGTTTGGACAGAATCTCTGTTGGACAGTATAACTTTGGACATCTGGGATCCCGCCCTCTGGAATTCTCCAATTTTCAGAATCCTTTAATACCCCTAAAGAATAGAAAATAAGTTAATCCCAATCTTCTTTGATGAAGCATCATTCGATACCCAGTAACAACAGCACAGACCTGAGCACTGGAAGGGGAGAGAGTAGCCCCATCCAGCAGGAGACCAAAGAAAACTGAAAGAACAAGGATAGAGAACACGGTAGAAGTGAACCTAACTAACGGCAGTGACCTCAGCTAGAAGCCAAGACTGGCAGTAGACCTAGATTCTGAATGGAAGAGAAAAGCTAGAATTCTTTGGAGTTTTGGGAGCAAAAGAGTTGGTCATTAGCAGCCATGTGGTGTCACTGTACCTCACAAGACACTGGGTTTCTGGTAGACACTTGTAGGTACCTGTCTATAACACACACACTGCAGGCAGGGTTGGAATTTGGGGAAAATACCCCTTGTCTTGGCTGCCCTGGGTACCAGTGATCCAAAGTGTATTCAGATATGAAAAAATCCATAAAGATGTTCTTTTAAGGAATACTGACTTACAACCTAGAGAGCTTACTAGTGACTTTGAGTATAATTATTCAAGATGTAGTTTAGGTTCCAGATACTTGGAATTCTGTTAGGAGCTAAATACAAAGGAAGGATTGGAGGAAACCATCTGAAAAAGGTGTCTTGGTGGTCTCTCACGGTCTTTACCTTGGAATGAGCCCTCAGATCTTGGAATGTTGAAGTATGACTAGTCAGTGAAGAATGAAAGCAAGCTTTCCAGAAAGTACCTCTGTCTGGCCTGTGATGGTTATAGTTAGATAATACATGTCAAAAGAGCATTCAGGCAATAATTTAGAAAGTGGGGGACATATTCAAAGAGAGATTGCTTCTACCTTACACTCACTAGCTGGTTGTGCCATTGGACCTATGGTTTTGCCCAGGAGGTCACCATATTTTATTAGTGGCTGAAAGACCTGAAAGTAACCTCTCATCTTGGACTTCAAAAGAAAACAATTTTCCTAGAGTCACAGTACCACTATATTGTCAACTTCCCACTTGCTCTACATTTTCTGTCTTTGTGATCCATCATAGATGATGATCTTCAGGATTATGGCCCTTGAGCATCAAAGTAGAGTTTCTTGTTCTCTGCATGGTCCATTAAAGAAGGCAGGGTTGTGTTTAAGTCAGTTTAATTGTTTTAGCAGTTGTTTAGTTCTGATTTCCATAGTCCTTGTCTGTTTCCATAGGACCCTGAACAGAAATCATACTTTTCACCCTACCTGGTTATTGCTTATCTTTGATTCTGTGATTCCTGTGATGTCAGTTAAGCACTTGCTGCAGGAGAATACTTGATGCCCCAGTGCATGAATTTTGGTAGAGTTCCCGTTGTCCTTGAAGTTGGGCTGTAAGGGTCTGAATAGTTGAGAATATTCTCTGTTCTGAAAACAAAATAGAGGGCAGCCCCAGTGGCTCAGCGGTTTGGTGCCGCCTTTGGCAAAGGGCGTGATCCTGGAGACCCAGGATCGAGTCCCACATCGGGCTCCCTGCATGGAGCCTGCTTCTCCCTCTGCCTGTGTCTCTGCGCCTCTCTCTCTCTCTCTCTCTCTCTCTCTCTCTCTCTCTCATGAATAAATAAATAAAATCTCTAAAAAAAAAATAATAAAAACAATTTGGATGAGTCTCATTGGCAAAAAAAAAAATCGTGGTGGGTGTGTGTTAATTGGTGGGTGAGGGTTCTTGGCCTGGTTTGATGCAGGAGAGCATGTTTCTAGAGCTGATGCCTCAAAGCTTATGTCTGTTCGATAGCATCTGAGTTCCTCCCATCTGGTCTATTCCAAGGCTTTTTTCTTCTGTGTACCCGCAACTCTGCCCATAGAAAACATGACTTTGAACACTCCCATTTCTTTCTGGATACAAATGCCAGTCTACTACCCTCAGCTGTTTTCTTTAGATTGAAGGTAGAAATTATCACTTTCTGGCCCACAACCAAAGGAAGAAAAAAGGAATGTGAAGTTTAAGATACTATCTAAGATCATATTAACAAAGTTTTTTCTAAAAAGCTACTTTGGTATATAACAAAGACTTTCTGGCTATACCAGAGTCCTGGAAAGAAAAAGAACTTTAGACAGAAAAATAAATCTAAGAATAATTATTTGAATAGCTATCCTCAGGGAAAACACAGATAAGGGCAAATTTGTCCCAAATTAACAATTAGATAAATCCTCAGGAATATAGCACAGTAGGATTTAATACTCCATTTCTAAAAATACACAACTCTGCTAAAAACTGAATGTGATTGCAGCTTCTCTGTGGTTTTGACCAATGCCCTTGCAGCTGTGAAAGTTTGACCTGCGCTGAAATGCCTCACTGAGCCAGCCCTCTCTGTGTCCTTTTCCCTGCAGCGCAAATCTGTCCAAGGCTGCCTGGGGAGCTTTAGAGAAGAATGGTGCTCAGTTGATGATCCGTTCCTATGAGCTTGGGGTCCTTTTCCTGCCGTCAGCATTTGTAAGTTCACATTTGAAACTGCCTGAGTGGTCACACATGAAACAAGTTGGGTTTTCATGTTCTCTTCCTTCGATCATTATGACCTGCCTAAGGCCAGGAGGTAGCAGGACCAGGGTTCTAATCTAGAGCCTGTGCTCTCAACTGCTGGCCTGTGCCAACAAATATATTTAGCATTCGCTATTCTGGTGCAGTGAGATTGCTGCTCTCAGGGAGCGTACCTGATGACAGATTGAAGATAATTGCTTTAGGAAAAGTTAATCACATGTTTCACAGCATTTAAATATTGTTAAGATTCATTACAAGACGGTAGTGACAGGTCACCGAAGGGATGACTCAACCAAGAGCAAGATGTTCCTTTGGAGGCTAGAAGATTTGAGGGGGTGGTAGGGTGGGGAGAAAGATGCCTAGGGTTTAGGGTAGGCGGAGAGGAGTGGGAAGGGCATCCCATGTTGGAAGTCGCATGAGCACGTGTCAGGCAAGGAAACTCACAACATCTCGAGAAGGAGTCCAGGGGGTCACAGAGGGCCTGTGCGATCAGACTCACTGGTAAGCCCCCTAGAAACATACCAATTTGGAAGCTGTATCTCTCTCTTGGGGTGTCTAGCACAGCCAGCTTGTCTCCCCGCGTGTAGCAGTTCTCCGCTTGCAGCCAAAACCAGACAGTATGGCTGATTTTCATGTTGGGACTGGTTGTATGGGCCTTCTGATTTCTAAACACTAAAATAACTCTTGGGCCAGAGAGATGTCACACAGATCCCAAGACCACTTACCTTGCCCCTCACATTCACTCACATATTCAGTGGAATGCAATCAGAACTGCCCACATGACAGGATGGCTAATGCTTTTTTCTTCTTCTTTTTCTTTTTTTTTCTTTTTTTTGGTGGGGTTCCACCTGCTGTAGTTGAGCTTATGACAAACACACACATGATGCAGCTCCATTGTAAACCACTTGGACTAGACCAGAATATTTTTCTAAGGGAGTGCTGTGCACTTATTCTCAGGCTTAAATCCAGACCCATGTGACGTGTAGGCATAGTCTGAAGGGGCACCTGAGAGCCTCTCCCACCCACCTGTCATCTTCCCTACCTCCCTACCACACTCCAGTGAAAAGTACTTTTCTCCCTCTTTCCTCCCTCTGTCAATCTTTATCCATCTTTTTCTTCTCCAACTCAGAGGGCTTTGCTACAGAACTGTCAAATAAACTTCTCCTTAGGGTAATATCATGAAATTCTAGCACCTTTCGTTTTTTTCCTACAGAGTCAGTGGATCCTAACACTGCTTACAGCTGCTTCCCCCTCCATATCCTTGGAGACAGATGGTTCCCCCCTTCCCCCTTTTCTCTAGACAAGGATGTGACTTCCCTAGGGTTCCACAGCTGAGTGGGCTCCAGACCTCAAACCACCATCCTTACTGATTTCCCCCCTGTGATCTTTCAGCTTTATCACAGGGAAATAATAAATTTACAACGCTGGGATAATAATAGTAATTTGGTGTGACTGTAGTGACCGTAGCTTTGAACTAAGGCCAGGATTATTTCCCAATAATAGCTTAAGTAATGGAATAAATTCCATGTCACTCTTGTTTGACTTTTGTCGTTTGCATATGCCAAATTCTAGACATTTCTAACTGTTCTGACTCCATTCCTCATCACGGAAATGGTAATAAAAAAATTTATTGTGCTTTAGGTCCTCTAGACCCTGCTAAGCTAATTTTTACCTCTGATTCTATTTCTAACTGTACATTAGAGACAGCTAATAGAGGAAAAAAATAGGCATAATCATTTAGAATCCCCAAATTAGACTCTTGTCTACTGTTGCAATAAGAAAGAGCCCCCACTATAGCACATTCTAGATAAGAGATTCAGTTATTTATAAAGATTGTCAGGCAAGAATATTAACCCCCCTCCTCCACTATGCTGATAGATTCAAGAATGAGGCCCCAAGTACAGTGACCAAAAAGACAGTATTTATCCAGCAATCCGGGTTCCTTGGCATGTCTTAAGATGCAGATCCTAGAACAGTGCTTTAAAGCAGGCTTCCTCCATAACTCTAGTGAGAACCCAAAACTGTCACTGGTTTATGGTCAGTCTTTTTTCTGGGTGGGTTGCCTGTGTCCTTCACTAAACCATGCATTATTTGGGCAGGGTGCCAAAATGAGGTGTGCAGACAAGACACAGAAGTGTTTGACATTGGGGCACCTAGGGATTTCAGTCTGTTGAGCGTCCGGCTCTTGGTTTGGACTCAGGTCATGATCTCAGAGTCATGGGATTGAGCCCTGTGTCGGGCTCCACATTAGACGGGGAGCCAGCTTGGAATTCTTTCTTCCTCTCCCTCTTTCAAATAAATAAATCTTAAAAAAAAAAAAAAAAAAAAAAGTGTTTAACCCTCCCAGGAAGCCTACTAGTCACATTGAGCAAGGTCATTTTAAAAAGGCACTTTCTGGGACACCTGGGTGGCCCAGGGTGTGATCCCTGGGTCCTGGGATTGGGTCCTGCATCGGGCTCCCTGCATGGAGCCTGCTTCCCCCTCTGCTTATGTTTCTGCCTCTCTGTGTATCTCATGAATAAGTAAATAAAATCTTACATACATACATATGTACATACACAGGCACTTTCTTTGAGAGATGTCCAGGTGCAGCCTAGGTGCCAAGATCTGTGAGACAAGTAATTGGCCTCGGTAAGCAGAACCCAAAGGGCTGAAAGTAGGTGTTCAGGTCCTTTTCGTTGCTCTCAAAAGAAACAAACTTGAGCTTCTGTAAGTCCGCAAAAGGAGGGTAGTTTTTGAAGAGATGCTGAAAGGCCTGGCATGGCATCAGTGGCACAGCAGAGCCTTGAGGATTGGTGTAGGGCCAGCCCTGGGAACCTCAGCAGCATACCACCTGTCTGGGTGGCTCCCACTGGTGACCCCTCTGCAGTGGCTTGTGCACTCATTTGGCAGCCATTCCACATTTAAGGACTTCCTGAGGTTAGTTCTGTTTTTCATGCTTCTGTCCTGCCCTGACCCTGTCCCGTAACAGCAGGCCTGTGTCCCAGAGAAGGGCAGATTGTTGTGAGCTAGGAAGCCACCCTACTGCAAGAGGGTATCACCCATAAGTGAGTTGTGTGTTTTATCAGTTTGCATTAAACCATGTCAGGGAATTTTGCAACAGAAGAGACTTTGTCCTTAAGCTACTGTGTCACTTACCGGTATATGAAGCTTCTGAATGACCAATAGACCTTTGCTTGGTCTTCACAGAAGAATTACATTAACAATTACATTAACATTTATGGTTTTGACTCTGTGAGGGTAACCCAAAGATCTTTGCCATGAGGTGATTTGTCAGTTTGCTGAGGTAACTTGAATGCAGGATGAAACATTTAGCTTGTGAAGGAGAGACTGTACAGCACAACTCCACGGCTGCCCTCCTCAGAGTATATCCCAGGCTCATAACTGAACATTCCAGCCTATCTGGAGTGACCTTGCAGTCCCTCTGTTCAGCTCCACCAGCTCTCCATGCCTCCAGCTCAGGAGCCCTGAGGATAGGAGGAGGAACGAGATGGAGTCTTCCTTTTCATGAAGTTCACAGATAAGTTCAGGAAAACAGATGATACTATGTGATGAGAACTGTGGCGTGGAGGGTTCACAACATATGGACTCTGAGGAAAGGAGCATGCAATCTGCCGGGGGGCCCTGTGGAAGGCTTCAGTAAGGAGATGACGTTTGACCTGGGTCTTGAAAAATGAGTTATGAGCTTAACCCATCGTCAAGGGAGAAGAGGCTTCCAGACAGAGAGAACAGGGCAGGTTCTATTTGAGGAACAGCAGGCCATTCCATGTGCCTGGGAAGGGGCTGTGATGTGGCTTTTGGGGTTTTTTTGTTTTTAAGATTTTTTTTTAAAATTTATTTATGAGAGACAGAGGGAGAAGCAGGCTAGGCTCTCTGCGGGGAGTCCCAGGCAGGATTCTATCCCAACACCCCAGGATCATGACCTGAGCCACCAAGGTGCCCCTAGGCCATAGGCTTTGAGGTTGGATGCCTGTTTTGAAGGAGACTGGCAAGCAAGACCCCCTGGAATTGTACTTTGTCCCAAGAGGAATATAGAAAGCCACCAGTTTTTTAAGCAGGATTAGTGATGTAATCGGGCCATTTTTCAGAGAATTTGAAGCTTATAAGATACTTACCCAATTATGAGTATAATTTAAGTTATATTATTCAAAAGGTACCTGAGGATAAAGGCCTTGTAAATCTTACCAAATCATCTTCATCACCTAAGCCATACTATTATAAAAATTTGATTACTGATTCCTATTACCTTCACCCTACCATCCAAGCTCAAAGTGTATAAAGTCACCTCTGATTCCTCTTTTCTGCCCAAGCTTTGGTGCTTAATGCTGCTTAATAACTTAATGCTGCTTGATAATCAGTCATTTCTGGTCATTCTTGCTGCCACTGTATCCATGGCATGTCAGCTCCTGCTACAGTACCCTCCCACCGTGCTTCCCAAGGCAGCTTCCAAGCTCCTCTCCACACCTAGCTGCCAGGGTGTCTGTTAAACCGCACATCAGGTCACGTCACCCATCTTCAAATCTTGTTAGGTAGAAGCCAGACTCCTTAACATAGCTGACTTTTCTCTTCATGCCCTGACTCCTCTCCTGACTACTTGGGCCTGACCACTCTCTCTCTTTCCTGGCCCTTCATGTTCCAGCTCATTATGAATCGAGCCCATCTGTATTCTCCAGAGAAAGAGAACCAATAGGATCTATAGGTACGTGTAGAAAGAGATTTATTGTGAGGCATTGGCTCACATGATTTTGGGGCTAGGAAGTCTCAGCCTCTGCTATCTGCCAGCTAGAGACCCAGGAGAGCTGGTGGTGTAGTTGCACTAGCTGTAGAGTCTGAAGGTCTGAGGATCAGGAGAGTTGATGCTCTCAATGCCCATCTGAGTTTGGGAAAAGACCTGGGTCCCAGCCAACAAAGAGGAAATTCATCCTTCTTCACCCTTTTTGTTCTAGTGAGGACAT